TAAGTCCCCATGCTCCCCCCTCCCCCGTTCCTGGCAACTGCACCATCTTTTTTTTACGCTCAAATTGTCTTAGATTTGGCCTATGGGAGCTCCTTCATTGTATTTCCTGTGTTCTCTGACATGTCCCCATCATTCTTTTTTTTTAATATAAATTTATTTATTTATTTATCTCTGGCTGCGTTGGGTCTTTGTTGCTGCGTGCAGGCTTTCTCTAGTTGTGGTGAACGGGGGCTACTCTTTGTTGCTGTGCGCGGGCTTCTCATTGCAGTGGCTTCTCTTGTTGCAGAGCATGGGCTCTAGGCGTGCGGGCTTCAGTAGTTGTGGCTCGCAGGCTCAGTAGTCGTGGCTTGCAGGCTCTAGAGCTCAGGCTCAGTAGTTGTGGCTCGCAGGCTCTAGAGCGCAGCCTCAGTAGTTGTGGCGCATGGACTTAGTTGCTCCGCAGCATGTGGGATCTTCCCGGACCAGGGCTCAAACCCGTGTCCCCTGCATTGGCAGGCGGACTCTCAACCACTGCACCACCCGGGAAGTCCCATATCCCCATCATTCTTTGAGCATTTCCTTGTTTTCTGGCACAAGAAGATTTTCCAGGCTCCCTTTAATCCTTTCCCTGTCCCAGAGCTTGACTCAGCCATTTCTCCAAGGACCCCAGGTCCTTTTAGTGGGCAGTGAATGGTATCTAGAAACTAACATCTGAGCATCTAGGTGAAGTCACCGATATTGGAGGGTCACCCAGGCCCTCTTAGTAGATACATGTACATGCTTATCTATTTCTCTGTCAAAAACCACGAGTTCATATGAATTCCTTCAGTTCAAACTCAACATCACAGCACTCACTCCAGTTTTGTTTCCTTTCCGTGTTTGTAACGCCCTTCTCGAACAGGGAGAAAACTGACTCTCCTTCTCCTCAGTGTATTTATGTATTTAATCGATACCCCTGAACGTAACCAGCCTCCCAAGGCTGCCACTGTGCCTTCCCCGATGATACCACCACCCACCCACCCCCGTGGCCTGCACACCTCGCGTTCAGCCCACGCCCTCCCAGAAGCCTCTCCTACCCTCTGTGGGCTCCCGCACCCGGTGCTGGGCCACTCTGCCGTGCAGGAGCCCTCCTCACCCCACTCAAGCTCCCATACCCCACACCAGGGCACCCGACGCCCTCAAACGACTCATCTGCTCCGGCTCTGACACCCCACGCTGGGCTGCACCTCCACGAGGACACCATCTCTGTGCTGCTTGTTTTACTGCCCTTCCAAGCACACACTCTTCTTACCCTTCTTGGTAAGTCCCACATCCCATACCAGGCGGACTACCCATCTGCTTGGACGTCCCCCCCGCTAGGGCTCTGACTCTCACACTCGTAAGAGTAGCGTTTCTCACAACTTCAGTAGAACCTTGGTAACCTCTTGGTAACCTTGTTAAAAAGGAAGATTGGGCTTCCCTGGTGGCACAGTGGTTGAGAGTCCGCCTGCCGATGCAGGGGACACGGGTTCGTGCCCCGGTCCGGGAAGATCCCACATGCCGCGGAGCGGCTGGGCCCGTGAGCCATGGCCGCTGAGCCTGCGCGTCCGGAGCCTGTGCTCCGCAGCGGGAGAGGCCACAACAGTGAGAGGCCCGCGTACGAAAAAAAAAAAAAAGGAAAAAAATGCAGATTGCCGGGTCCCACTCCCAGAGATTATGATTCAGTCAATTGAAATGAGATGGTGAGATCCACATCCTCAACAGGTGCTTCTGATGCAAGTGGTCTGAGTGACAATTTAAGAAATTCTGTTTTCATCTGGAATAACAGCATCAAAAGATAAGCACGTTTAATACTTTGACAAGTATTGCCAAACCGTCTGCCTGAAAGGCTGTACCACGTTGTGGTTCCACTGGCTGTGCATAGCAGTGCACTGTCCCAAACCTTTCAGCATACCCCTCTAAGGGGAGGTGCTTCACGAACATTGGGTGTGTGGGGGGAGCGGGGGATCCTCTTCCCTGGGCCTCAGTTTCCTTATGAAATCAGAATCTTGGATTAAATCAATGCTTCCAAACTTTCCTGATGATGAACATCACTTGGAAGTCTTGTTAAAAATCCAGATTTGCAGGATCAGGTCTACTGCATCAGACTCTCTAGGGGAAGGGAGTGGGAATCTGTTTGTTTAACAGTAATTCCGAGCTTCTCTTGAATAAGTTCCACGTTACTCCTTTGACTAAGTGAGTTTTGTAAATATTGCTCTGATCGACTTTGAATGTTCCCTCCGGTTCTATAATATTTTAATTTCACCTGACTGTACAAGACCTTTTGTTTTAATTATGAACCAATAGCCGTGAACTTTAGAGGAAAAAGTACAAGCTGTCTGCAGAGCAGCTATAATGCTCAAATAAGATATACGTGGATGATAAATTCAAGACATGTCTTTTACATCTTTGTGAAGGCTAAATATTTCAGATATTTTTACATTTTTAAAGAAACTGCCACTGCAAAGATTTAAAATATTCCTAAAATGTCAAGGTGGCATACTAATACTCCTGTGCCGCTTTCTCATTGGAATTATTAAAGAAATGGACTACTACATAATAAAAGAAAAACTTCAGACCTGAAGGAAGATCAGACTTCAAGTAAAAGAAAGTTTTGAAGTTCTCAAGTTTCTCAGTGAAAAGGAAATAAGTCCAGTTGAAAACAGTAATAATGATAAAAGAGGATTGAAAGTAGATCTTATGACACCACGCTGAATGAATGATGTGTAATTTGGAGAAGTTATGGTTAAAGAGGTTGCTGCAGAGGAATGCATTGATTCATCTAAAACAAATATTAAACTGAAGATTTTCCATATTGAAGTGATTTTTCTTTATGTATTATATTGATTTATGAGTCATATTTACAGACACTCTTAAAATTGGAAGTCATCAGGTCACTGTTGGCTATTGGATATTTTGGTCAAATAAATCTTCTGTTATAGACTTTTTTAAAAAAAGTTACTTATTGGGACTTCCCGGGTGGTGCAGTGGTTAAGAATCCGCCTGCCAATGCAGGGGACACAGGTTCGAGCCCTGGTCCAGGAAGATCCCACATGCCATGGAGCAACTAAGGCTGTGTGCCACAACTACTAAGCCTGCGCTCTAGAGCCTGTGAGCCACAACTACTGAAGCCTGCGCGCCACAACTACTGAAGTCTGCGTGCCTAGAGTCTGTGCTCCGCAACAAGAGAAGCCACTGCAATGAGAAGCCCGCACACCACAACCAAGAGTAGCCCCCACTTGTTGCAACTAGAGAAAGCCCGCTCGCAGCAACGAAGACCCAGTACAGACAAAAATAAATAAACAAATATTTTTTAAAAAGTTAATTATTTAGCACTTACCATGAGCCACCATCCCAAATGCTTTGCTTCTGTAAACTCATTTTCTCTTCCATCAACTCTATGGAGTATGTACTTTCATGACTCCTTTTTGAGAGGAGAGGAAACTGAGGCACAGATCACTTGACTTGTTTGCCCACAAACACATGGCTATTAAGTGATGAAGCTGGAAGTCAAACCCAAGGGGACTGACTTTGGGACCTGTGTTCTTGGCCACATCACAGCAGGGTGGTGGTTAGTGTGGACAATTGTTATGAAGAGCACATTGCTTCCTTTACTTTCTGTCTTCATTCAAAATTGAGTCATTATTATTAGCAAACGTTTAGGTAGACCCGAGCCAGGTTTCTCACTGTCCAAAAAAAGTTACAAATAAGCAAGGGGGAAATCTAGAGTGAACCCTGTGGTACTAGAATAGTGTTGGAGACATCAGTATGAACTCAAGTTTTCATGGGTAGTTCAATATAGGAAGATAGGAAAGTAGATAGATAGATAGAAATATGAGTGTATCCATGGGTTTATCTACACACATGTACTTCCTGGCTTATATCATTAGAGGACCTAGAAACAACGGCACCTCAGTAGCAAGAACTTGCTACTAAGGACGCAGTACCAAGGACAAGCATCCACATCTTGGTTTCTAACACCATTTTCCAATAAAAGGAACCAAGGATCCTTGGAGAAGTGCCTGATTCTAGGGAGAGAGCAGGGAAAATATAGGATGTGCCTGGAGCATCTTGTAGTACAAGAAAGTAAAGAAGTTCCCAGAGAGCAAAACAATGGGATATATCAAAGGGACATAGGAGCCAACTGTTATGATTGTATTTTCTTAGATTCTGTATTTGTCCACTTGGCATTCAGTCATCACAAGGCCAAACTAAACAGCCAAGGTTGTTTTCATCTCCCCTATCATCCAGCTTTTGTGGGTGTGTGAAAATCATATTACAAACCCTCCAGCCAACCCCAGATCCATATCCCCCATCACCTCTTTTTTTTTTTTTTTTTTTGCGGTACGCGGGCCTCTCACTGCTGTGGCCTCTCCCGTTGCAGAGCACAGGCTCCGGACGCACAGGCTCAGCGGCCATGGCTCACGGGCCCAGCCGCTCCGCGGCATGTGGGATCTTCCCGGACCGGGGCACAAATCCGTGTCCACCGCATCGGCAGGCGGACTCCCAACCACTGCGCCACCAGGGAAGCATCCCCCATCACCTCTTTTATTTAATTCTCACACACCAAGCCAGTATTTCCCCAGCTCTTTATCAACCCCCGGCCAGGTACCAGACAACCAAGGACAGCCTCTAGGCTTCAAAGCCCATACTAAAGGACTTCCCTTGTGGCGCAGTGGTTAAGAATCCACCTGCCAATGCAGGGGACACGGGTTCGATCCCTGGTCCGGGAAGATCCCACATGCCGCGGAGCAACTAAGCCCGTGAGCCACAACTACTGAAGCCCGCGTGCGTAGAGCCCGTGCTCCGCAACAAGAGAAGCCACTGCAATAAGAAGCCCACAAAGAGTAGCCCCCGCTCACCACAACTAGAGAAAGCCCGCATGCAGCAACAAAGACCCAACGCAGCCAAAAATAAATACATAAATAAATAATTTAAAAACAAACAAAAACAAAGCCCATGCTAGAATTATTCAGACTAATCCTAAGCTTTGCCTTTCCCAGGGAAAACCCAGGAAATTCTGTGGCCTGTGCTCTCCCCATGCTCCTGCTGCTGCCCTGACCAAGCCTAGTGCTTCCCCATGTGGCCCCACGTGCTGTAGTGTGTTCCCTTCTTTTGGAAAATGTAAGTAACAACTTCTTTCAATGGCATTAGCCTCTCCGTGTTCACTTAGTCACCTCCATGAGTTAAAATCCCACAGGTATATTTTAACACAACTGGCACAATGAGCAGGGTGACTCAGTGTTCTGTAGAGGGACATGCCTCTAGGTGGCTCTTGGCTTGCAAACTGGATTCACCCAAGAGCCAGTTCTGCCTGGGAAGACACACTGGCTGCTGGTGCCCACGTGCTTTAGCTGTCACCGCTGTATGCTGTGTCTGCTGTATGCTGCCGTGGTATTCCAAACTAGATTGTAAGAGGACTTCAAAGGCGCACACCTTTGCCGTCAACCTCATTGGTCTTAGGTGCTGAAGTCTAGGTTGGCAGTTACCCTCATTCCCTAGTTGGTGCCTTTCACTGGACAGTTTGGTCCACTGGGCCAAACCTGGTTTCCCCCATTCAATAAACGTAGGTTCCAGGCAGTGACCCCAGGCTGATTAGGATAAGGCAAAAACTCCCCCACAAAAGGAACAAGGACAGGCTTCCTCCAATGAGACTGTGTTGGGGGCAAGTCTGTCCAATCTACCCAACAGCCTTGAAGACGGCCGTGGGCAATCAGCCTCCCTGTTGGAGTCTACCCTCCCTTCAGTGATTCACCACACTGGCAGCCCTTCTAGAGGGTGTCTTTATGGAGATATCTCTAAATGTGCAAAGACCATCATTGCCTTTTGCAGGAGGTTGGTTGGTCTACCTATATGGGAGGAGGCTGCACTGTTTGCTGTCTTGAGATTTCTTCCAGATCTATGATTCCAACTTGATAGGAATTTTATTTAATTCAATTCACACAACGTTGGCTAGTAATCTATGAATACCAAGAAATATATATCATATGGACTGTTTTGAAATATTGTATAGTTCGTATGTAACAACCTTTATTGTATGATACAATCAAACCACATGAAATAACATTTTTTAGTACAAGCAAGAGTGATTACTGTAAAGCAATTATACTCCAATAAAGATGTTACCAAAAAAATGATTAGAATTTTTTTAAACACCAGACAAAAATCTTTAAGTAGTACTAATCCTAAACAATTTTGCTTGCTTTTCCAGTTTATGTGGAGTGATTATGCCTTTCAAACATCCAGTATTCTTTTTTGTTTGTTTCTTTGTTTGTTTTTGTTTTTTTTGCTGTACGTGGGCCTCTCACTGCTGTGGCCTCTCCCGTTGCGGAGCACGGGCTCAGGACGCACAGGCCCAGTGGCCACGGCCCATGAGCCCAGCCTCTCCATGGCACGTGGGATCCTCCCGGACCGGGGCACGAACCCACGTCCCCCACATCAGCAGGCAGACTCTCAACCACTGCACCACCAGGGAAGCCCCCATCCAGTATTCTTGAATCGCTCTTTTGTGCTAGACACTGAACTGGGGGGTTAAATGCTCAAAGAAATAGGATTCTAGAGACCCAATACAATAAATTATTTAAGGTATATAAAGGAGGTGCACATAAAGCCTATTTCAATACATAATGCAACACATCTGTACCCAATCATTGGCTAAAAGTTTTTGTTTGTTTAACACTGTATGGCATAAATCACAGCAAGATCCTTTTTGACCCACCTCCTAGAGAAATGGAAATAAAAACAAAAATAAACAAATGAGACCTAATGAAACTTAAAAGCTTTTGCACAGCAAAGGAAACCATAAACAAGACGAAAAGACAGCCCTCAGAATGGGAGAAAATATTTGCAAATGAAGCTACTGACAAAGGATTAATCTCCAAAATATACAAGCAGCTCATGCAGCTCAATATCAAAAAAACAAACAACCCAATCCAAAACTGGGCAGAAGACCTAAACAGACATTTCTCCAAAGAAGATATACAGATTTCCAACAGACACATGAAAGGATGTTCAACATCACTAATCATTAGAGAAATGCAAATCAAAACTACGATGAGGTATCACCTCACACTGGTCAGAATGGCCATCATCAAAAAATCTACAAACAATAAATGCTGGAGAGTGTGTGGAGAAAAGGGAACCCTCTTGCACTGTTGGTGGGAATGTAAATTGATACAGCCACTATGGAGAACAGTATGGACGTTCCTTAAAAACTAAAAATAGAATACCATATGACCCAGCAAACCCACTACTGGGCATATACCCTGAGAAAACCATAATTCAAAAAGAGTCATGTACCACAATGTTCATTGCAGCACTATTTACAATAGCCAGGACATGGAATCAACCTAAGTGTCCATTGACAGATGAATGGATAAAGAAGATGTGGCACATATATACAATGGAATATTACTCAGCCATAAAAAGAAACGAAATTGAGTTATTTGTAGTGAGGTGGATGGACCTAGAGACTGTCATACAGAGTGAAGTAAGTCAGAAAAACAAGTAACCGTATGCTAACATATATATATGGAATCTAAAAAAAAAAATAAAAGCGTCTGAAGAACCTAGGGGCAGGACAGGAATAAAGACGCAGATGTAGAGAATGGACTTGAGGACACGGGGATGGGGAAGGGTAAGCTGGGACGAAGTGAGAGAGTGACATGGACATATATACACTACCAAATGTAAAATAGATAGCTAGTGGGAAGCAGCCGCATAGCACAGGGAGATCAGCTCGGGTGCTTTGTGACCACCTAGAGGGGTGGGATAGGGAGGGTGGGAGGGAGGGAGACGCAAGAGGGAGGAGCTATGGGGATATATGTATATGTATAGCTGATTCACTTTGTTATACAGCAGAAACTAACACAACAATGTAAAGCAATTATACTCCAATAAAGATATTTTTTAAAAAAAGATTAGCTGATTCAAAATTGTGATGCTGGGAGATGGACTAAGTTAAGGTTGCCTGTTAGATGGCTAAAGCTTTCTACTGATGTTTTTTTATTTTTTCCATTATAAAGATTCTTTTAGTGGAAAAAAAAAGAAAGTTCAGTATGATGTAGAGGAAATAAAGTCCAACCGTTCACACAGCCAAATAGCAGATGAAACAGATGGACTCTGAGCTGCCATAAAGCCCAGAAAATTCTCCTGACTCTTTTGGCTCTTATTTTGTAACTGGCATGAAAAGTCCATTTTTCTGCCATTGTGGTTGTAAGTTGCACAGCCTTCTGCTTTTTCACTCTTATATATTGATCCTTCAAAGTTTATATGATGGATAATAGAATAATAATTTATAAAGCATTTACTTAAAAATAAATCTGGGAGATTAAGCTCCACGAAACTAATTTGGGCTCAATGCCCAGAGAAATGTCATATTGAGAATTTCTTGACTTAAATATATTCAGTACAGCCACATATTAGCTAAACCTCCTGATGGATTTCTGTTTAACTCTGTGAAGGCCGAAAAATATCACAGGGCCAGTACTGGTTAACGTTGAACTGTAGAAAGGTTGTGTGTACTACAGTGATTTTGTACGTGAATATACGCGTGTGTTTGCAAACACGCAGCTAAAAGTCATGGTCATCTGATCACTGTTGGCTTCTAAACAGTCTGGCTGGTCTTTGGTTTTCGAGTTAAACAGCTACAAAGTTCACTTCTATGTTTTGCTCTGGTTTCTCAATGCAAAAAAAAAAAAAACGAAAAAAGTGTGTTGACAAGTGACAACAAAAAGTGTGTTGAGAAAGGGGACTTTTCTTTTTAGAGAGAGCACTCTTGGCCTCTTTTGAAAAGTCCAAGGTGCAAGCTGGAAGACTCTCCCTACAAACAGGTGAAGCAACCTTCTACCTATTTGATTAAGTCCTGTTCTTGGCTCCATTCAAGGATTCCTGGGTGTGAATGCCTTTGCTACCCTGGCTTCATGAAGAATCAGTCACTCCCCGGGCTGTAAGTCTCTGAAAGTGTCCAGGAAGAGAAACAGGAGGGGTGACCCTGGTATATATGGAAAGATACACCTAGAGAGTTTGACTGTTGTTTCAGAATCTGCTGTCTCGTCCCTTCTTACTTTCTCTTTCAGTGAACATGGAGATAACGGACACGTGCGTAAATACGGAGGCACATGTGTGTATTCCTTTTTCTCTTCTTTTTCTGACTGTGTTGTGTGTGTGTGTGTGTGTGTGTGTGTGTGTACATGCGCCCAGCAGCTTCTCCTAGGAGCACTAGATGAAGCTACAGTAGCCCTGGGGAAAAGCCTGCATGTTGGGGGGTCAGGAAGATCTTGGCTGCATTCCTGGCTGCACCACATATTAGCTGGGTGACCCTAACAGCAACTTTACTCTGAGCTCAGGTTTTCTTTTGTTATGTGGGGACTCAAGTACCCACCTCAGGAAACTGCAGGGAGCATTGAGACAACAGGGCAGCACCATTCAGAGCTGGTTCACTTTTTCATTTTCTTCTCCCTCTTCTGGCTTCTGACAGTCTTGTCTCTCTTTGCCATCCCTCTGCATTTAACTCCTTACCCCCAAAAGTAATTTGCATTACCTTGGAAAGAAAGTATGTTCTAAAGGACTTGGTCCTTACTGAATACGTTAAGAATTTTTAGGTTTCTAATTTAGACATCCCATGATTTCAAACTTTTCAGTGTCTCCAACAAGTGTTTAAAAATTGTAGTGGACTTTCTTTTTTCCCAACCTCTGAACCCTCTTCCTAAGCTTGGATGCAGCCCCACTCTGGGAGCCTTGACGGTAGGCAGGGAGTTCTGCCTTCCACTGGGGGAACCAGGAAGGAAGTACAGGCAGTACGTTAACTTAGCTTAGCCAGTCAGATGTTCCCAATGGAACGTGACTGTGGTTCAAAGAAGCAAGGAGGGCTAGTGCAGCAGCAACACCCTTCTGCAGGTAGTGCTGAGATCTGGTATAGTAAAGGGTTTGCTGTGCCAGTGATGGGTCAGGCGTTCAACAGGGGCGGTAGGTCTCGGTCTTCTTAGAAGACTTTCACCCTCAGGCAACTTCATCCAGGCTCTTTTGCCTTCTCTGTTTAGACAGCTCTTCTGGAGAGGGGTCTAAGAAGGGACTTGCCTCTGAGACATTTCTAGAACCATTTCCCGTCTTTTGAGCCATTGCCTGGGGAATCTCTCTCCTAGATTAAAGTGACAGGCTACCACCTTCTCTTAGGAACTCTCACTGGTGGGTGCTGCTTGAAATTTAATTTTAGTAACCTGATTTTTTTCCTTTTTTTTAATTGATGTATAGTTGATTTACAATGTTGTGTTAATTTCTGCTTACAGCAAACCAATTCACTTACATATATATATATATATATATATACATATATATATATACATTCTTTTTTCATATTCTTTTCCATTATGGTTTATCACAGGATATTGAATATAGTTCCCTGTGCTTTACAGTAGGACCCTGTTGTTTATCCATTCTGTATATAATAGCTCACATGTGCTGACCCCAAACTCCCACTCCATCCCTCCCCCAACGCCCTCCCCCTTGGCAACCACCAGTCTGTTCTCTGTGTTCATGTTTCTGTTTCTGTTTCATAGATAGGTTCATATTTTATTTTATTTTATTTATTTATTTATTTATTTTTGCTTTACGCGGGCCTCTCACTGCTGTGGCCTCTCCTGTTGTGGAGCACAGGCTCAGCGGCCATGGCTCACGGGCCCAGCCGCTCCGCGGCATGTGGGATCCTCCCAGACCAGGGCACGAACCCGCGCCCCCTGCATTGGCAGGCGGACCCCCAACCACTGCGCCACCAGGGAAGCCCTAGATAGGTTCATATTTTAGATTCCACATATAAGTGATATCCTATGGTATTTGGCTTCCTCTTTCTGACTTACTTCACTTAGTATGGTCCATCCATGTTGCTGCAAATGGCATTATTTCATTCTTCTTTATGGCTGAGTAGTATCCCATTGTTTACATGTACCACATCTTCTTCATGCATTCATCTGTTGATGGACATTTAGGTTGTTTCCATGTCTTAGCTATTGTGAATAGTGCTGCTGTGAACATAGGGGTGCATGTATCTTTCTGAATTATAGTTTTGTCCGGGTATATGCCCAGGAGTGGGATTGCTGGATCATATGGTAATTCAATTTTTAGTTTTCTGAGGAACCTGCCTACTGTTCTCCACAGTGGCTGCACCAACTTACATTCGCACCAGCAGTGCAGGAGGGTTCCCTTTTCTCCACGCCCTCTCCAGCATCTGTTATTTGTAGACTTTTTAGTGATGGCCATTCTGACCAATGTGAGGTGGTACCTCATTGTAGTTTTGATTTGCATTTCTCTTTTAGTGACCTGATTTTAT